AAACATTCTGCTGCCAACCTAAAGGTCAGTGGTTCAAACCCACCAGCTGCTCCATGGGAGAAAGGTGATGAAGTCTGCTTCTGTAAAGATTGACAGCCTTGGAAACCCTATGGGGCTGTTCTACTCTGTCATATAGGGTCGCTATGAGTTGGAACCAAGTCACTAGCAGTGGGTTGTTTTTTTTGGTAGATGCATCATATGAGTGGAATCATATAATATTTTTCCTTTTATATCTGACTTGCTTACTTACCATATAAACATCAAGGCTCATCCAGTTGTACCATGTATCAGAAAGCCATTCCTTTTCTTTTTTTGTTTTTTAACACAGGTGTCCTAAGGTGAACTCAGGGAGGATAAAAACCTGTGGAGGTGCAAGGCAAAAGCTTGCTTGATCTTGATTTTCAGCACGCATACAGACTGGGAAAGCCGAGCCTCATGATCCGTTTGATCACATATAATCTTACAATATTTGTCCTTCTGTGTCTGACTTATTTACTCAGCATAATGTTTTCAAGGCTCATCCATGCCGTAGCATGTAGCAGAACGTCATTTCTTTTTATGGCTTAATAATACGTCGATACCCTGTGAGAGCTGAAACTGGATGGGACTGCCTTGTTTTCCCAGATCTAGCAAGTTTTTGGCATTTGCCAGGATGCAGTCTTACCACTTTGCTATTGCTCATTTTAGTGGAAAATATTTGAGTTTTCCTTCTCTGACACATTTCTGTCCTACATGGGTTCTATCTTTGTCAGGTTTTACTGTATTACGTTGGTTGATTTTTTATTGATAAAACAAACTTGCAATCCTAGGTTAAATTTCCCTTAATTATGGTGTATATCCTTGTGGCATATTCGTACAAGAGAATTCTACAGAATATTTGAAAATGAACTATTAGTATGCAGAGCAATACAGAGGAATGTCACAGAAGTTGTTGAGTACAAGCAACGAGGCACAAAATAGTATATACTTTATGATTCTATTTTATACTAAGAATTAAAAAAAAAAAAACTCACTGCCATGGAGTAAATTCCAACTCATTTGTACCACCAGCCTTCCGGTCAGCAGTCAAATGCCTTAGGTGCTCTGCCACCACAGCTCTTTTTCTTATAGTAAGAACAAGCAAAGCTAAACATTATGGAAGTCGTAATAGTGGTTATATTGGTGGGAGGGGTAGTTATATACTGCAAAGTTGCACAAAGAAAGCTTATGAGAAGCCAACAATATTTTCCAAAGTGGCTATTCCATTCTATATTCCCACTAGCGATGTATGAAAGATTATGTTCCCCTACAAACTCAGTGGTACTTAGTATGGTCAGTATTTGTTTTCTTTTGTTTTACTTCAGTCATTCTTATGGGTGTAAAGTGGTATCTCTTGTGGTTTTTTCTGGTGGTGTAGTGCCTAAGGCATTTGACCGCTAACCAGAAGGCTAGCGATTCAAACCCACCAGCCACTTCTCGGAAGGAAGATGGGGCAATCTACTTCCATAGCGATACCGCCTAGGAAACCCAAGGAGGGGTAGATATGAGTGGGACCGAACTCCAGGGCAGTGAGTTTTGTTTGTTTGGGTTTAATTATTAATGAAAGGAGCCCTGGTGGCCACAGTGTATAAGTGGTCAGCTGCTAACCAAAAAAGTTCAGTGATTGGACTCCACCAGCCAATCCCTGGCAGAAAGATGTGGCAGTCTGCTTCCATAAAAATTTACAACCTTGGAAACCCTATAGGGTCGCTATGAGTTGGAATCCACTCAATGGCAACCGTTCTGGTCTTCTGGTTTTAATTACTAATGATGTTTATTACTTTTGGGTGTACCTATTTACCACCCATATATCTTCTTTAGTAAAGTGTTTGTGCAAATATTTTATCCACTTTAAATCGGATTATATTTTTATTATTCAATTTTGAGACATCTGTGTAAATTCTCAAGGAGCCCAGGTGGTGCAGTGGTTAAAGCGCTCGGATGCGCCCGAAGGTCCACATCCTTTTGGAGGAGGAAGATGCCGCAGTTGGTTTCCATGAAGTTTTAAAGCATTTGAAACCCTATGGGGCCAATTCTACTCTGTCCTATTGGGTTGCTATGGGTTAGCAGTCAAATGCCTTAGGCACTACGCCACCAGAGCTCCTGAATTCCGTTTACACATTGTCAAAACTCAGCTGTCCAGATATTGCAGAACATCTGGGGAAGCCTCCGCCAGCTCCTGGAATCCCAATTCTGTAGGCTCCCCCTCAGGGGACTTTTGGTACCCTCCAGTCTTGCATCTGCGCACTGGCGACGAACACCATCGTGGGAGGAACCCGAGTAGCGTCGCAGGCCCGCCCATGGGGCAGCTTGCTCCGCCCCCTAAACGCCATCCCTGCAGTCCTGGGACCTCCTTCACGCATAAGCACTTCCTGCGACGCTTGGGTACCAAATCTGCAGAGCCTCCTAGAGCCTAGCACAGCAAACGCAGCGAGATGGAAGATCGGGTGAAGCTGATGAAGGCCCTGCTGTCCAGGCACCGGTGGCCCCAGGCGCGTCGCTGGAGGAACCCGATTCCCTTTCCCGAGACGTTTGATGGCGACACAGACCGGCTCC